AGGGGGGGGGGGAGGCGAGACATTCCCTCTCCCCATCTCTCACCTGAGAGCGGCGGGGCGCCTGTTGACAGAGGGGACGCGACTTCAAACAAAGAGTCCGTCGTGGCCGCGTCGCGACGCGCGCGTGTCGCACTGGCCAGCGTGGCGAGGGCGGCGCGGGCCAGCAGCGAGGCCAAGTCGGTGGCGGCGCGAGGGTGACAAGCTGAGGGGTGGGAAGCCCTAGGGGCTTAAGCGCCTGTTGCGCTCGGGGGTGGGAAGCGCCGCAGTGCGGAGGGAGAGCGCGGCCGCCAAGGTCATCCCCGTGACGTCACGCTGCACCCCGTCCTCTGTCTCCCCCCCTCCTCCTCCCCGACGGGGCGGGGGTCTAGTCGAGGGCGCGGCGAGAAGGATCCGGCAGTGCGCTGCGACCGCACCTCCTAGAGACACGACAGGAGAGCCCAAGGGCTGTGTGGGGCCTGTTCAGGAGAACAGCTGCGAAGGAGACCCGGAAGGCGTGGCGGGGCGTGGCGGGGCGTGTTGTGGCGGGGCGTGGCGGGGCAGATAGAGGCCGCGGGGTGACGATACGTGAGCCCGTGGGACTGAATGGGACGACGTGGCTGGACCACCCAACGCTATACGCGTGCCGGGGCTGGGCGCCGCGCGGCATCTACATATGGGTAAACGGACGTCCGTCGCCCAGGGGACCATACCTCCTGGGAACGCCATAGCAGGCAGGGCGGCGACGAGAGGGAAGCACGCAAAGCGAGAGGACGTCGTCGACCTGGAGAATATGCCCGCGTGGGTTACACCGACCGACCGACCGCTACCCCCCATAGCGCCGTCGTCCCGTGTCTCGAGCGCGCGTGCGTGCGAGTGACTGGCGGCCGCGGGTGACGACGTGACGAGTCGGCGCGCCGGCCTGGTCGTTATTCGCGGACACGTCCTCCTCGTGGGCAGGCGCATCAGCTGAGCAGCGCGCCGAGCCGGCGGAGCCTCGCCACGCTCTCGGGCTCCGATAATAAGTCCTACTGTCATCATCCTTCATTATTGGCCAGCAAGAGCGGGGCTTAACACTGCAGTGCAAAAATAAATAAAAATAACAACAACCAAAGAGATCGGGGAAGGGGAAGGTAGTGGGGGCAAAGGAGAGCGAGAGAGGGAGGGAGAAATAGAGAGAGACGTGGGGGGGGGGGGCACTGAGACATCGCGTACAAACGAGAGCACGAGAGGTGTGTCGCGTCTCGGCAAGTTAGAGCACAGCTGGGCGCAGCTGCGCGGTACAGTCCGCACTACAACACACTGCCCCCCAGGACCAGCCTATATATATGCCCCGTCCTCCTCCTGTCCGACAATGTTTGCAGAAGCGTCGCCCGGACCTTATCAGACCAGCCGCCACCGCGTTCTCTCTCGCTCTTCCAACCCCGGCCCGACTCGCTGACGGCGACGAGGACACCGCGGGGGACGCGGCGACAGGGGGCACCGTATTGAGCCCTGCACGGACAGAGAGCAGCGCGCGGTGACGCCCTGCCCTGCGGGGACACACACGGCCGGCACCGCGCCGAACACTACTACTACTACTGCTGCTCTCCCCACTCGCTCCGCGTCCAATTCGTTTTATTGTTATTATTACAGAGAGACTGAGTGAGTGTGTCTCTCTCCCGAGCTGCGGAGCGCGGATGGGCGACT